CGCAGTCCCGGCGTAGGACAGTAATCTCGCGGAGGGTTCGGTTAGGCACTGGTTTTTCTGGAATTCCCTGTCCTGCGACCTTGGCCCATGATGACAGTTTGGCTTCTTTCACTCCTCCGGGTTGGCGTTGTGCGCGTGTCGCCACGGTCGCGTCTTCCACCTTGGCCAGCATCACCTCCCCCAGTTTGACCTTCAACTCCCTCACCAACCTGGCTGCCTCCTCCACTACCTCCTTCCCTTTGCCGTTGATGGCAGGATCTTCGCTCCCATTGCAAAGAACATTGCTCAACTGTGTCAATATTGCTCCACATGTGGTGGGCTGCTGCCTCTTGTCAGAGTTTTCTTCTCGCGGGTGTCCGTCAGCGCGTCCCACGATTTCCTCCATCACAACCATGGCACCAGCACCACCTCAACTGGGGATTGCTGGGTGTCGTGAGATTCCCTGCGATCAGGGCTATCGTTCGCTATCGTTTTCAGTGTATTTATATAAAAGTAAAGACCTTCAGTATCTCAGTAGTATTTTTCCAAAGATAATATCGAACCATTTATTTAAAATCAGAATATTTAAAGAAATTTCGGATGTTATTATTAAATGAGATGGCTAGAAAATAAGAGAGTGGTGGGAAAATAGGGACTATAATAAGAGAAATACTGCTAGATGACCTGTTGATGATATGTTGTATTTGCCATGTACGAGACTCTTTCTGCTCATGCCCTGTTAATGGATCAGATTGACAGATTTTAGGCAATGTAGTGAAGACAATGTATGTATGTGTTTGTTTAACGTGCCTGAGGGGTGTAGGCAACGCCTGCGCCCCGGAGCCTCCGAAGGGTATGGGGACGTGCTATGCTGAAGAGATCCCTATATATACAGTAGAAAAGAGAATAGGATTCAGATAGCACCTCTTGAAAAGACTCAGTCCCCCAGGACTGCGCATCCACTTCTGCCCAGACGTATGGCCATTCATGGTGAGTGGTGAAGACAAGAGGAATAAAAGGCCGGAAATGAAACTCGGAGATGCGCAATGCGATGTCAATGACTTTTTTCTTCGAGGGCCTTCCTCAGTCCATCACTTGGTCACCATGGATCAATCGCTTCTTTTAGTAGTCATTCTCTTTCTCAATCCGCCACCCTCAAAGAGCCTTCTCGACAGCTACCAGCTCCTTAAAATCCTCGGAGTATTTGAAAGCCTCCTGTTTTGTCATGCTCGGAAGGGGCTTACGCCCACACACACCGTATCCAAAGTAGGATAGCAGGCCGCTTTTCGTACCAACCACGCCTTCTTGAATTGATATCCAATCCCCTTGAGCTACAATCGCTTGTAGCTTTTGGGCTTCAATGAATTCCTCAGCCTTGTAAAGCTCGATGATCTCAACACAAGTTTGAGCCTCCACCAATCAGAGTCTGTATGGTGAAATCTGCAGAGCCACCCATGCACATAAAGCCTGAGCCGTTATCCGATGCTGTTCTACCCTTCAATTGCTGCTGCAATCCGATTTAACTTTTCCTGTATTGCCACAGGTAAGCTTGCCAGTCGACTATATCTGGGTGCTTTGACAGTTCGATGATTGTATCGGAATCTATGTCTATACCCGAGGCACCGCCGGGGCAGTTGTAAATTAAGATGGGAATCAGGGATGCCGTTGCCACATATGTAAAGAAGTCGATTGTGGACTGAGGTTTATAGAGGCCCTTATAATAAATACGCAGTTGGAAGGACCAATGCATAGTCCCTCTCCAGACGCTTTTAGCCTCTTGACATACGCTGATGGTCTCTCGTGTAGATTGTGCTCCGCATGCCACTATTATATGCATAAAGGAATATCGCGCCCTATCAAGAGCTTCTCGCGCTGTTTTCGTTGTCAAGTTTCGTTCGTTGTGTGACAGATGCACTGTTTCCCCGTTGGACCCTTGGGTTGCCAATCCATAAACTCCA